AGCTGGTTCAAGTATTTATAAGTCAAATCCAGGATAAACGCACGCCAATAAATACCTTGAACAAATCAGTTAAATGATTTACTTCACGTAAAATAAAATCCAAGTGTGCCTATATGAGTAAGATTCTGAATCGAACTAATACAATGAGACATAGGCAGCAAGTCCAGCTGGACCACCCGTGACAATTACTCTAATCCAAAAAGACAAGACATACAAATCATTCGGAATAGTTGTAAACGTTTGTGTTAAATAATCAAGATTTGGCATTAGACAATGATCTGTAAAACACGATACACCACCATGACAATTTGATGTTGTTAACTGACCAAATTTACCACCCCCACAAGTATCGTTTGTATTGCAATATTGTGTCCATCCATTATTCAAACTACTTGCAAAATCACCATTGATCAACATTTCTGACGATGTCTGTGTGTGAATGACAGATACATCATCTAAATACCAAACTCGCGATCCTTGACTTGAAAACGTAAATGTGAGCGTGGAATCTGTGCCTGTTGCATAAAAATTAAATGTGTAATATACGTATGACGAAGTGGAGGTATTTGCAGTTAGAAAATATACTAGTAGTCCATTCGTACTTGGAGGTACCGTGCACACCGGTGAAGCTAAAAACAAGAAACGAGAAAATGTAATTCAGTTTACTTCATTCTTAAACGCGTCTCTCTTTGCTGGTTGTTAGTACTGATGAAAATTATATTTTCGAGGAACTCTTATGGGATATATAGTGCCATTCAGCCGATATCTGTTCATTTTTTTGCGTTTTCTGCTTCCCATACATGTCCTGTAAGGTCCTCCAACCAGAGCTGGGCAAGTCACGGGTTTTCCAAGTCAGATCAAGTTACAAGTCATGAGCTGAAATGTTTCTGAATCATTAGTGCCTCAGCCACGTCGACATACTGATGACGTAACTTCCAATAAAAACGGCATAAAAGAGTCTCCAGCCCCAACCTCACCATCAGGATTCATTCGTTCACGACTGTTATTCATGAATCGTCTACCATGAACGTTGATGTAAGGAAAGTGACCTAGCTTAGCTTTCACTTGCTTTGCTCATGTAGCGCTTTACACAAATGTTTATTGCTGTTCAAGGATGGATTTCGTGGAGGTTCTATTAGATGCACTTCTCATCATTCTCGGCGTTCCTTTTCACCAGTCAGGTGCTTAAATCGGATTCTCATAACGGTGTATGCGATGAGAATGAGTGGAGAGTGTACCGATGAAAAAGGTTGATGAATTAAAGTAATACATATACACGATGTCCATGATATCACATATTGAACGCTTTATGCTTCTTGTGTCTTTGGCATTGAGTTACGGATGTGATGGATGCTGCTGAACGCGTCTCCCAACAACCTTTACGGTCCCTCTTCGCCCAGAAGCCGCTACTCAGTTTTGGTTGTTATTGGTTTAGTTTTCAAAATTCGGATAATCTATTACAACTGATGTTCGATTATTTCGATTTCGATTTAACCGAAATTATTCAAGACATTTCCCATCACGAAAGTTTTTTTCCTCGTAAAACTGGGAAACAAATTCGAAACAACTGAAAATCGTGTACTAAATTAAATGCGACTCTCTTGTGGCAAGCGCTTCTTGCTCAAGTGTTTACTCAACCGTCTTTTCAGGCGTTTTGACGATTAAGAATCTTACTCATATAGGCACACTTGGATTTTATTTTACGTGAAGTAAATCATTTAACTGATTTGTTCAAGGTATTTATTGGCGTGCGTTTATCCTGGATTTGACTTATAAATACTTGAACCAGCT